CAATTCTCCAATTTAAGAATCTATTCGGCGTCTAGGAAAAATTGTGCCAGGCTGAAAAATGGTCCAGCTGATAAGAAGATATTTGGACATGGCTATATAATTTGATATGTTATCAGTGAAGATAATAGGTGCGTTATGTGCAAGAAGACGGACACATGCTAAAAACGTCATGTTGCGTGATGGGTTAAATTTTGCCTCTAGTGCATATTGCTCTTTATGTCTTGAGTTCATCGGGCAATGCCAATCAGGTCTAGTCCTCTTGCTGGAAACTTGGAGGATACCAATGGCGTGATAGGGAAATATGGGGACTTAAACATGTTTCATGATGCTGGTAATTTAGTGAGGTCATAATAAAGGAATTTCCCGTGGCATAGAGAACCCTATTGGAAGATTAAGAAATATCTTGATTTCCTCTCTTTTTTTCCTCTTTCACGTTTGGTAGCAGAACTAAATTTCTTGAAATACGAATAAAGTTGACTTAAAAATATGTAGAGAGTAATTTGATTATAATAAATTGATTGTTGAAAAAGAGTGCAAGCTTATGTTTATATAGGCAAATTAGTTCCCTAATTTTAGTGACTAAAGTAAATAAAATCCTAAAAGGAGTAAAAATAAAATCCTAAAAGGAAACAAAATTCTAATGTAAAAGAAAGATAAAAATAGTAGTCTAATCAAGAAAGGAAAATGAAATCTTATTCTAAATAAGAAAGAAAACAAAAAAGATAAACCAATCTTATTTGGTATAAGATTGTTTTACATCATTGTTCCCCACTTGAAGAAAACTCATCCTCGAGTTTGGTTGAAGAAAATAAAATCAATCAATTGAGAGCAAAGTACTAAAAAAATTGTGCCACATCACATATTGAGCAAATATCATTTCTTTATTTTCCTCAATTGCATTGAATGACATCAACTTTGCTCCTGCATTACTCATCTTCTCGTTCTTAAGGACACTTCCTCTTTGGCATTACTTTAGAGATGATGTTTTATTGAATCTCTCATTCTTGAATCCTCTTTGTGCACATAAACATTGGAATTTTCGATTATTTGTGATTCTCATTTTTTGTTTTTTACTTCTATTGATGTCATCTTCAATGCTACAATTCTTGCACTATTTTCTCATGTTTGTGCAATTCTTTGACATTCGAATATCAGAGAAGGTCAATGAATATTTTATTCTTAATTTGACAAGCCTTACCTTTGACTTCTTCATGACTATCAAGTTTAATTTTCCCTTTTCTTCTGTTAACTTCAACTTATTCATCATCGAAGTGCACCTCGATCTTAGGGTCTTCAATTGCTATTTCACTAGTGTTTTTTATCCTTGCACTTATATTCATTGTCAATTTTCATGTACAAGAGATCGGTAGGTCTCAGTTTTCAACTTGGACATGCTTTTCTACCTCCATTGTAGTATCATAGTCAGTAACATCCTAATAATCTTGAATGACATTTTTTTTAACCGTGTCATGTGCATTATAAATCTTTTGCTCTTTGTTTACAAATATTTGCAATTTGCTCTTCATGTGACAACAAGACAATCTTCTTATCGTACCACCAAAACACATACCCATTATCGACCTATATATGTGGCATCTATATCAGAGTACCATGATTGTTTCCAAAATATATGACAATCGTCCATCCGTATCATGTTACACACAATCTCATTTTTGTAGTATTTTCCAATAGACCTTTATATTTTGAATTTCTTACCCCCTTTCAAATTTAAAGCTTTTACCAATGCTTTGGATACTCCCGTAGTCCAGTATCAAGTTGCATACTTTGTTGTTGATTGTGCATTGTGTTCTAAAAAGCTTGTCGCGCTTCACATTGAACTCCTTTATATCTCCCAAGTAGACCTTTGTAGAATCCTTGATAGCTTGTGAGTATTCGAACTTAGCTAGGACTCGAGAAAATTTTCATTCTCTAGCCATCTGTTGTGTTTTGGGCCTATTGAAGCAACTAATATTTATAAAAGTCAAAGTTTGCAAATTCTTGCCAACTGCATCTTCAAACATATCAATCATTGGTTCCAAACTTTGGATCAAGGTTGATAATCCTCCGATCATCATCGCAAGCATAGTTTGAAAAAACGTAAACGGGTATTGAGGCGTTTTTTGTCATGCGCCTCACCACAAACAAAACAGGTGCAATCTGCAGAACAAAATAGGTGCAATCTGGTGACGATGCACTGAACAAGAAAAAAGCCAAGCAAAGTCTAGTGAAACAATTTTAAATTCTAAGTCACTAGANACTTTGTTGTTGATTGTGCATTGTGTTCTAAAAAGCTTGTCGCGCTTCACATTGAACTCCTTTATGTCTCCCAAGTAGACCTTTGTAGAATCCTTGATAGCTTGTGAGTATTCGAACTTAGCTAGGACTCGAAAAAAATTTCATTCTCTAGCCATCTGTTGTTGACTTCTTGTGTTTTGGGCCTATTGAAGCAACTAATATTTATAGAAGTCAAAGTTTGCAAATTCTTGCCAACTGCATCTTCAAACATATCCATCATTAGTTCCAAACTTTGGATCAAGGTTGATAATTTTTCAATCCTCCGATCATCATCGCAAGGATTCGTACCAATTCTACAATAGGTATATCAATCAAGGACAAACCTTGCTTTGATATCGATTTTGGTACGAAAGCGGAATTGAAATTCTTGAAAGGAATCCGTCCCTTTCTTTTGGTTGGAATCTGTTCCTACATGTATGGATATGCCTGGAAGGAATATTATAGGCTGAGATGGATAGGTGTGATGTTATATGAGTGATTTGTATATGTTTCAATATGGATTATGTCTGTATGTATATATGCATTTCACATTAGAACAAAAAAAGGCTGTGAACATATATTTTCTCATGTAACTGGTCCTAGATGATTAGCAATATGATCTCTGCTTTTACAATCAGTTTGTTAATTTTTCTACTTCTAAAAATATGCCTTAAATCGGTGTCAGTTATTAATGCTTTCTCTTGATTAACCCATGACCACTCGTATCTTCTTGCTGAAGCTAGGTACAAAATCGTGTTAAGTTGAAAATTTGTTACTATTTGGCAGATCTTCATCTTTGTTTATCAGTTTCACGTGATGTTTGAGCTCTAAGAGTGTCTGATGTTAATATAGTCGATTACCCTGTCTTTATTACATTTACTCCACAAACAAGGATCTCATTTTGAATTGGTGAAAACTTGTTCGTTACATTGGTTTCTGATACTGCAGCAAAGTTCAGGGAAAGGCTTGACCCAAAGAAGGAGAAAATCCCACCTCATGTTTTGCAAGTCATAGAAGAAGAATTAACAAAATTGCAATTATTGGAAGCTAGTTCGAGTGAATTTAACGTGACACGTAATTATCTTGATTGGTTGACTGCATTGCCTTGGAGTGAATACAGGTCAGTAGTCTATTATCATCTCATAGACAGTCATATCTTAATCCTTTGGCACCTTTCTTCCACACCTCTTCCATTTTATTAAAAGTTTTGAAACACTTGAATCCATTGATGTGCTCTCTTTAAGTTTATGAAGCTGTTGTTGTTATTGGTGGATATAGTTGAGAAACTAGATATTGTATGTATGTTAACTCTTTAACATAGTGACCATCTGTCATCTTGATGGTACAAATCTTTTCCTGGAAATGCTATTTTACTTGAATGCAAATAGTTTTCCTTGTAATTTATCTAGAACTATTAATAGTGGAAGTGAATATTTCCATGCTTAATTAGTTGCAAAGCTAAGCAACCTCCTGGAAGATCCTGAAGCTTTATCATTAAGAACAATTTTATCCCCTGAACTGTGAAAAGTGGGATGATGATCTCGAAAAGTTCTTGTATTTCTATGCTGTAGGACAACTTAGTGCTGTTTATTTTTTTATAAAGAAAACGGGAAACAGGTCTATTCATAGCTACAGAAAATGTGGAATCATGAGAAGTGTAGAGGAGAAAAGAGAAGAAAATGCTTTACCCTTGCAAAAGTATAAGCAAATCCACATGAAAAATACTAATCAACTATCAATTTTCAATTAGAAGCATTATAATGCTTTATATAGAATTGAGAAATCCTAGACTAGATGACCTTAAAATGCTTTTGTGGAAACTTGTTGATCACCTGCAGATCTAGTCGTAATGTTTTATATTAAAAAAATAATGACTTAATCCTTCAAGAATATAACATAGAATTTCTGGAAATTACAAATATACCCGATTTAGAAGTGTGCTTGATTGAAAAATCAGGTGGTAACTGTTTTAGAGACTGAAAGAACTCAGTGATAGTTGTTCTAGGATATTAATTGAATATTTTTAGAGAGGCTGTATGCTTTTCAAAACTCTCCCTTTAAACTTGATTCTCCTGGAGCCTCTTGTTGCCTTCAGCATTTTTAGTCCAAATGAACCATGTGCATGCCATCACTACAGGCAAGTATAGCATCTTACAGACCTTACTACTGCAGAAAATCTGAATTCAGTAATTGATGATGCAGGAAAAGACAATAACCCCCTCTAAAGCAGCAACAAATAACTACCATAATTTTATGACAGGCGAGAATGAAGCATTGGGCATAATATGTCTTTTATCTTGTTCAACACCGGACACAAACAAGAGATAATACCTAGTGAGACTACTGGATATGTGACAGGTTGCTATTGGATTGATAACGAGCTTAGTCAAACATCGTATTGTTTTAAGCCCCTTCAAACAGCTATGCTAAGATTTTTCTCACTTATTGAGTCTGAATGCTAAATGAGACTGGCTAGAAATAACACATCATGAATTGTGATCCTTTTGGCCTTATTCTGACACTGATTCTGGTGTCTATCTTATATGAACACTCCAGTACTGCTTTTATTGATTTGAATTCATCATCGAAAATTTAGCTAAAGCATTTGAGTACTGCTTTGATGGTTTTTCTCACATTGTAAACTGGGTGTGTTTCTCTGTTTTCATTTAAGTTACTGAGGGCAGTACCTTAATTTGACTTGAAATTTTTGTTTGTACATTTGTCATGTATAAAATTGTCTGATTCATATTTTTTGATGTTTGCTGGTGTTTTGGTTTCATAACTGAGTGGAGGTTTCTCATTTTAAATTGCTGATAATGGTACTCTGATACCTGCTTATAATTTCTGTTTCCTCTATTATGCAGTGATGAGAACTTTGATGTAATACGGGCACAAAATATTCTCGACGAAGACCATTATGGATTAACTGACGTCAAAGAAAGGATATTGGAGTTTATAGCTGTGGGGAAACTAAGAGGAACCTCACAAGGTTGGCATTTTCTTCTTCTTTTTTGTTTTCTGGAATAAGGTTGGCACTCTTAACTTGTATGGTTTTTCCATTAATTTTCTGAAATCACATACTTTTATCATATCCATGTGTGTTATTGTAAGCAGAAAAGATATGCCTTTTTTTTGCTTATCCCTGACATTGAATGTGTATGCATGTGCAAGCCTATGCAGACACTTCGATGCTTTGATATGTGTACGAGCATAATGTATGTTGTGTCAATATAAGTGACTCAGACAATCTGGATGATAATTTCAAATTACTTTTTGTTTCGTGTTAATCCTTCTTTGTTTGGTATTTGGGCCTCATTGTGAATCCAGCTTTCTGGACCCTAAGCTAACATAGTAAAACTACTTCTAATGCATCCACATTTCCTGAAGTCTGTACAGCTATTATATTGACAGATCCTAGAATCATGGTTCCTTGGTTGCTGTATAATTATCCTATTACCATTAGCTTTGGTCTTGTTTGTGTCAAGTTATTTAACATGGAAGACAAGGAAGCAACAGCTAATATTAATGACAGTTTTCTTACTTTCATTGAGTGTATTATTCATTCCATAAATTATCATGGATCTAGCAGAGAACTGGTCACTGTTGCATTATCCTGTGGGTTGAACAATTATAATGTCATTGGATATGGCTATTGTATTTCAAATAACTCTCTCTCTCTCTCGTGCGCGTTACATTACATGTTTCTTTTCTGCTTTTGACTGTGCTAGACTTGTGCAGCAGTCTTCAATATAGAAACCAGCAATACAGAGTACTGAAGTCCTTTATCTGTTAATTACAGGTAAAATCATATGCCTCTCTGGGCCTCCAGGGGTAGGAAAAACTAGTATTGGTCGTTCAGTTGCCCGGGCCTTGAACCGTAAGTTTTACCGGTTTTCAGTTGGTGGTTTGTCCGATGTTGCTGAAATTAAGGTAGGCAGTGAATCTCAAAACGCTTGAGATAATCATGCAATTATGTATATTGATATTTTATGTTCATCTATTTGTTATTCACTCCGAAATTCACATAAAGGGGCATCGTCGAACATATATTGGTGCCATGCCGGGGAAGATGGTGCAATGTTTGAAAAGTGTGGGAACAGCTAACCCTCTGGTTCTGATAGATGAGATAGACAAGGTATTCGTGGCTTGTTTTGTTCTGTTTTTGTCCACTGCTAGAATTTGTTGTTATTTATTGTATACAAAGTAATTTTTTTCCTTCTATATCTTTCTAATATATTTTTTACATTTGGCAGTTGGGAAGGGGACACGCTGGTGATCCAGCAAGTGCAATGCTGGAACTTCTCGATCCAGAGCAGAATGCAAACTTTCTAGACCACTACCTTGATGTTCCAATTGATTTATCGAAGGTAAGTAGGCTGCAAACTTCTTGATATGTGGATCATGACATTATTAGGGTTAGGCTTACATTTTCTAAGGTGACGTTTTCCTGCTGTGATTGACTTGGATTTTTAATTGAATTTGTAATATAAATGTTCACTATTTAGATCATATGAACTTATTTATATGATATGATTGATCCAACAAGTTCATACCCCCATTGTGTTAAAGTATTAGGACCTACTTCTGCTGTATTCTTCCCTCAGTAAGAGGGAAAATAGTTGCAGAACTGCATGTCATTTTTTTTTTTGGCCACATAGAAGTGTATGTCAATGAACAGAATGATGTGTTGAAACATTCTATGCTCTGTATGTCGTCATTTTTTTCCTGAGAAACTTCAAGCTACAAGAGATTAATATTTATATATAATTTTTGTCTTTATCTATATTAGTATGCAGTTATCTTATTTCGCGTTTGTTCCTTTTTGATTGGAGATGTAATATTTTGAATTTCCTGATGCATGTGTTATTGAACATTTTGAATTATATATCTTAAATTGTCCCCTTTAACCTGATTACCGATCTTTTCATACTAGTAATATTTATGATTGCCAGGATATATGTACAATCCACGGGCCTACCAACTTGATTGGAGAGGATCAATATAAATTGTGGAAAATATACTTTCCGTTGATTTGAAAAGAATGGGAATTACAAATTTATAGGACTGGAAATTACACATGAAAGAAATAATGTACAGCTATACAAAGATTCTAAGCGCTAAAAAGCTAGAAGTGGAAATATGATTGCCTAGACTATTTACATAAATGATTCCTAAGAATCTTTGAGAAAACAAAATCAGAATCTTAAAATGGGAAGATTATATTTTAATACTGAAATTTGGAGTATTTTCAACATAAATTAAGGCTCGTTATAAATTTCTGATATATTTATTGTTAAAGACTATCGTGCCACGGTACTGAAAGTTCTCATTAAGGATTATGATGATGTGGTTTAATCGTGCACAAGATCTCAAATGTTTGTAGTTTGTGAAATTGGTGTAGCTATTACTTCTTTGTTATCTATTTTTGTTTATGCTGGAATTTAGATATTCCTAAATTGGCTAACCTGCTAGATGTGGCATGAATTCTTTTACAATTTTGCCGCAGGTTTTGTTTATTTGTACTGCAAATGTAGTGGAAATGATACCGAACCCTCTCTTGGATAGAATGGAAGTAATTTCAATTGCTGGTTATATTACTGATGAGAAAATGCACATTGCAAAAGATTATTTGGAGAAAGCTACTCGTGAAGCTTGTGGTATCAAGCCTGAACAGGTATCTCTCTCTCCCGCCTCCTGCAGACCTCCAACTTTAAGAGACTTCATATCCTACTTTCATGTATCAAGAAGCTGTTTTCATTCAATGACAAATTTGAAGAGACATGCTTATTCTGGAAATAAATAGCAACACACTAAGGTGAAAATGGCTAAATAGTGGTTGCACAAAGAGCTTATAATTTCTGAGTACTTTTGCATACTTTTGAAGGTTTTATAGGATTTTGACTTGTGACCATGCCCCTGTTTGAGCCACGTTAAAATTTTCATTCTCATTCTTCTACTCATTTTCAACCACGCATTTTTCAATAAAATAATATTTTCCATCACATTAATAACTTTTCATTCTTTTTCAATTACACATACTCTATCAATCTACTATTCCAAAATACATTCTTCCAAAATAATGTGGCTCAAATACACCCTAAATTACAGAATTTTCCATGATTGGGAATTGTTTTTTGCTACATAGCTGATGAATTTAAGGTTGCAAATAAATGATTTGTACTACCACAAGTTTTTTGCTAATTAAACAAGCAGATTGATTGGTACAAGAATTTTCACAATATGAGCTGCAATATTTTATTACCTTGCACAATTTCCAGCCTGGTTCATCAGAACTAGAGTGCAGATGAATTGTGATCTAAACTACCAATTTTGGCTATTTGGCAACTTTGCAGCTAAATATCTTATAATAGCCATATAACTCGAGCTTCTATACAATTTGCATGCAGTAATATAAATCTCTCTATTGGAGATAGCTTGATTTATTTCCATCTTTGCCAGGTTGAGGTGACAGATGCGGCCCTTCTTGCTTTAATTGACAATTACTGCAGAGAAGCTGGAGTCCGGAATCTTCAAAAGCAAATAGAGAAGATATACCGAAAGGTATTTGCTGAAACTAGTGTTACCTTTTCTGAGATTCAAGTGTTCCATGGTTTCATATGGTTCAATTCTGAAGTCCTCACTTGATTAACATGAATTTCCCCATTTGGGAACCATTTGAATTTACTATCATTTCATCAATAATACTGTTCTTGGATTGCTGGTCAGATTGCTCTACAACTTGTGCGAGGAGGAGGACATGTTGAACCTAATGTTACTGGGGTTCAGGTTCAACCTGATGAGGTGAAGGCAGAATCTGATCTTGTGTCAAATGAAACCATGATTGAAGGAGTAGGGGCTGGTTCAGTTGATGGCAGCACCGATGGAAAGAATTCTGAAAACGACACGGAAGCTGAAATAGTGGAGGTGGATTCCCCAGCTGAACAAATTCCATCTATTAATCAATCCAGTACTTTGGAGGTATGTGAAAAAATATTTTTTTTGCTCAAGTAATAGTAATTTATCCGCTCTTAAATGTTATAATCCTCCGTAAACTTCATATAGAGTAAACTGAAATAAAGCCCGAACCTTGTTGAACAGACTTCGTATGAAAAATATGTTTTGGTAGTGTAATTGACTTCTTTACTACCATTTATTCTCTTCTTTTTGTTTATTTGGATCTGAGATGCCCTTTCTGATAAAGCACGTGATCTTTATCTACACCATAGTGGTTCGAGTGATTTTTATTATTTTTTAATTAAATTTGGATTCATCCTACCAGGACACTTCCGAGGCTGGAAAAATACAGGAAAGTGAAGGAACCAGCACTGAGAAAAAAGTCTTGGTCGATACATCTAACCTTGTCGATTTTGTTGGCAAGCCTGTTTTCCATGCTGAGCGCATTTATGATCAAACACCAGTTGGAGTTGTAATGGGTCTTGCTTGGACTGCAATGGGTGGCTCTACGCTCTATGTAGAGACCTCTAACATTGAGCAAGGAGAAGGCAAGGGGGGCCTTAATATTACAGGACAACTTGGAGATGTGATGAAGGAAAGCGCGCAGATTGCTCACACCGTTGCCCGGGCCATATTGCTCGAGAAGGATCCAGACAACCCCTTCTTTACCAATTCAAAGCTTCATCTTCATGTTCCTGCTGGTGCCACCCCAAAGGATGGTCCAAGTGCTGGTTGCACCATGATAACGGCCTTGCTATCTCTTGCCATGAATAAGCATGTTAGGAAGGACCTAGCGATGACTGGAGAAGTCACACTAACTAGAAAAATTCTTCCCATTGGTGGGGTAGGTGAAAGCAAACTTAAATCTCTCTCAGAATGTTGTTACGTTTTGCATATTCTGCTATCGTATTTATTGTTTTGATCATTCGTTGTGGAAATATCGCCTAAACTTAGTTCACTGAAAGTCATCTGAGATTACCATCCCTAATTATGCTTCATCATTCACTGCCTTGAATCTCACAGAAATTCTCTTGGTGTAAAATCAGGTTAAGGAAAAGACGATTGCTGCAAGGCGGAGTGACATAAAGACCATCATCTTCCCTTCAGCTAACCGGAGAGATTTTGATGAGCTAGCACCAAATGTGAAGGAAGGCCTCGAGGTACATTTTGTAGATGATTACAGTCAAATATTTGATTTGGCTTTTGACTATAGCCAGAAGACGGAATAAAATGCATTCTTGCTGAGTAATCCTGCTGCTTGGGTTCTTCGACTGGAAGTCTTTTCAAGGCAGGAACACTGGACGTTTCTTCACTCCCATTCTTTTGAACAATAATATCTGCAGAGAATTAACGTCTGTATACTGTAAGTTATGCCCGGATGAGCCACCATTGTTCGTTTATTCTTAGTTATTTTCGATACAAAGCTAAGTTCATGTATGGTTTTGATATAAGGGTAGAGTTTATGTATGATTTTGATGTTGGGGGCAAAGTTCAAGTACTATTCGCGTAATTAATTTTCAAGTGTTTGCCTCGTAATTTCACTTGGCACTCTTTTGCATTATGACGATAATTTTATAGTGCTCAATGAACTCTTCTACGTACCAAAATAAATGCATCTTTCAATTAACATATTAGCATTGCTTGTTTGATAAGAGTATTTCATATTTAAATTTTTGAATGGCAAAGAATATTATGTGCAACTCTGTTTTGTATTTTCAGGATTTTCTTTATCTTTTGTAAGTTATATTAAAATCTGCACGTTCAATTTATATGAGACACCACTTTCTATTTTTTTTCATCCACTTAGAAAATATGGAGAAATGTCTAAAATTCATTTTTCAAGAATTTGAAACAATCACTATCTTTAAAGAATAATGCTACATGTACATTATGGTTCACATAATGGTGTCCATAATGTATATGTGGCGCCCTCCTTTTGGGGGGAGAACCTGGCCCACAGGCACTTCCCCCAATAGGGGGGGCGCCACATATAGATCATGGACACTATTATGTGTACCATAAAGTACATG